ACTGATAAGTTGAAATAACCTTGACAGCAGTCCATTCCCGATGGCTGGGTGATATCCACCGTTGGATGAAACTTGGGACCGATTGATTACGAGTGTTCCCATCAGATACTCAGCAGTTTCATGGGATTCACCTCTGGTTTGGAACCACAGTCTTCACCTGCCACTGCAAAATTAAATAAGCTTAGAATGCATCCATGGGTGGGTTATCTACGTTCCCTGAGAACCTGGTCATTGAATTACAGAGAGACGAATGGTAGCACTTGATAAATGTCCTCCAGAATTCAGAAAGCTGGGCGGAGGTCTCCTAGAGACATAAAATTCCAGCAATCGGATAAACACAGGCTCCCACGACAGGGGAAACTGGGCACTCTGTCTTGCTCGCCCTTAAAGGAGGAGACGAGCGGGACCGAAAATGTTGCGACCCATAGCACTCCTGCCAACGTTGCCAAAAGTAATGGACAGCCTGATAGATGACCATGTTAACTAATGCTCAGATGAAGACAGGGCATTCGGTGATGCTAAGTGATGCATCCCGGAGCCTCTAGGTCCTTGTGTGGGTAAATTTCCTGCATTTTATCAACTTCCGTGACACAACCACACGCCACTCTTATGTGAAAAATAATTAGGTTCCCTATCAGCGGTCAGGTTTTATTCTGGACTGTAGACCGTTCACGCGGCAGGGGTTCTGTACAAAAGTCAACAGGGTTTGTCCATCTTGCAGAGAATCATCTGGCTTATCCTAAGGATTGACTGTGGATTCACTGAGGTGCTTCCTTTTGTGACTGTACTCCCATTTTGTCTCAGTCCCACGAGGACGTTAAGTTATGGAGATCTGTGACTTCCAGAAAGGGAATTCAGAGAGCTATAAGACGAACCCCAGGACGCTTGAAAAGCGAGCGAAAAGCAGCGGAATGGCACCTAACCTGGCTGGGACCTGGACTGCGTTTCTCTACGCTTCTGACCCAGAAAGTATCCTACTGTCCCTGTGGTGTGCAACCTTCCCACATTATCATGAAGAAAGTCCTGCTGCTGATACTAACTGGCAAACTAGACACCAGATTCGGCGGTCCAGCAGTCGCCTTCGGGGCCTACAGAGTACTGCACTTCATACACCGATGACTAGGCGTCTTCAACTTCAAATTCTTTCTGAATCCCACCTACAGATCCACAACGTCATTCCACTACCATACACGAAGAGGAATGCGAACCTCCTGGGAAACATCAAGTAGCAAGGGAGGAAGGCAGTTATTAGGATGCGAGAAAATCGTATAAAGGTGGCTGAGGGATCTAGGTCCTTGTCCTTTTAGTCAGCAAGGTTCATGCGTGAACTTTATAACAGCCTTAAAGATATTAATAATCCGAGTCACCCAAACATTAAAAGTTTATCGAACGGTCATTGCCAAAAGGAGAAAGCTCCCATGACTTTGCATTTTTCATCCTTTTTCTGTCACTGACAGGTATTTCACGCCAGAATTTCCGCCTCCTTGTACATCGACAGCTTCGAGAATAGTCTGAACAGAGACCCATCGACTAGTGGATGGCGCCCATCTTGTTGGTTTGCAAACTAAGCCAAAAAACTGACTGATTCGGCGTCATTCCTACACGGCTACCTCCATACCTACTCTTAAGCACTGCCACCATCATTACAAACTCGAAATGACCTAATACTTTCATTTCGGATGTCTTGCCTATCTAGTTACTAAGCCCCCTCTAATATCACAACTATTTCCATCCCCATTATCCCTACCGCGGTCCCACCTGCAATTTTTTCGGCCCGTCTGTTTTTCACGGTTTCCATCCATCATTCTTCCCTTCCCTTTCCTCCCCAAGTCAACCTAGGTTTCTCCTTTCTTTTCATGCAGTTTCTTTCCAGCTTGATTTCCATTATTTCCTCCTTTGATTTTTTCGGACGCTCTTAACTCCTGTTTTCATTTTACAACGTGTTCGAACAACTGTCTGGTGACAAGATATATGGCAGAACTATCTACATCACAGTTTCAGGATAAATCATGCGACCGTTCTACATATGTAACATTTGGGGGTGGGGTAGAACTTTGCGTCAGCTCCCCTCTCTCAGCCCACCAAATCTATAGTCAAGAACCGGAATACCTCAGAGAGTCCATCTGGTGCACCGTAATGCTGTCCAAGACTGTAAGGTGCCTGGTGGGAGTCATTTATTGGAAGTAGCATGACGACCAGATGCTAGAGGTAATAATTTGCTCTATTAAACTAGGGCACTCACACAGACCAATTTCAGGCTACTTTAACCTACCGAAGGCCAAATTTGCGGATCACACGTTTAGCAGGAGTGAAAATTCCACTGAAGGCAAATTCTTCCACCTAATTGGGGAGCTGGGGATTACGGAAAATGTGAGAATGGCAACGCGAGCTAGGGAGGCTCAAACACCATCTCGCTTAGACTGCTTCTTCACAAATGAATACCTGACTGACAACTTAGCAATCCTTCCTCCTTTGGGCGGGAGTGACAACTTTATCGGCTACGTTTGTCTGCGAGACCAATCTAACTAGACCTTTCAATGAAAGTCGGTGGAACTTCAGACGACTTAACTCTCCGTCTCTGCTAATTGTACTGGAACAGAGGGGTTGGAAAATTGATTGTGTACGGCAGGATATGGACACCAATTGAAGATTCGTACCTGACAAGATCAAGCACGCAATCAGTCAGTCCGTTCCACTTTGGAGACCGAAGTACTCCAAGTTACCCAAGGTAATAAGGAGCTAAACTGTCAAACTACTTAGGTTAAAAAGACACCACTGGACTGAACACAAAAAGATTGGCATCGAATATACTTACATACAGTTCAGATGGACAAGAAAAATATGAAAGAAGGCACTGAGGGCCGACTGGCAGTGGCATCGAATTAGGCTTGCAAACATGTTTGTTTCTGGCCCGAGGAGTCTGTTCAGTCACGCTGCTTCGTTCCGGCAGGCTACGGCGGGAGTCTTTTAACTACTAGGCGCGAACAGACTGACCAGTAGCGACAGTGAAGCAGTTGAGCTGCTGGCAAACCGGTATCCGCAAGTCTTTTCGTCATCGTCCACCTACTCAGGAGGTTACGAATATCCCACTAACGAAGCAGGACCCTCGGCCGTCGACCAATGCATCGAGCTAGTACAGCGCAAACTGCTACTGCCCATCAAAGACACCTCCCCAGGACTAGGTGAAATCCATCCTGCCGTACTACTGGGAGGAAGATTCAGTGTCATCCGGACCTTTGAGTTAGTTATTTAAGAATTCTGTGAGTCAGAGGAAGCTGGACCACATAACGCTAATCTTCGAAGAGGGTTGACGAATCAATCCAAAGATGTACAGGCCGCTGACGCTTCTGTCCACTCCTTTCAGTGTTGGAATCGTTAACATACGATGGGATGAGGAATTACCTCATGAAGGTAAATTCCCATGTGCCCCAACATCATGGAGTTAAAAAAGGGTGCTCATGTACTACTAATTGCCCTCTGCAGTAGATAGATGGACTAGCATTGTTGACCGTCGAGGATGAACTAATGTTATCTGCCTAGACTTTGCTAAGGCGTTTTATCATGTGAACCACGACTGTCTTATTGATAAACGAAAATTAATCGGGATTCGACCTCCGCTCATTGACCAGTTGCCTTCATGTATACGAGACTGTTCATTCAGAGTTCGAGTGAGTTTCTCTGTTTGGAGAAACAGGATGTTCTAGTGGTGTTCCCTCAGATTCAGTACCAGGGCCTCTCTTTTTTCTAATGTGCGTAAACGACTTACCCCAAAAGATTTCTTCCTAGATATTTCTTTTGGCCGATGACGTGAAACTCTTGAGAGAAACAGAAGTGAGGACGATAGTTTTTCTCTACAGGGAGACTTAACTTCAGAATTGGACAGTCAACAACGGGCTTGCATTTAATTCTGAGAAATGCAAGGAGATATACGCAAAACATGATGCATATCATTTATGAAGCCTCAAAGGCAAGTAACTTGAAGCGTTACTGATAAAGAAGGATTTGGGCACCTTAGTCCCTCAAGATTTAAAATCCTATCCCAATTGTGACAGAAGCGCATTTCGTGGAAACTTGGAGTTAGTAACTCATTATAGATTTTTCAGACAGTTCGATTGCAGATAATTCCACCAAATTTTCAGCAGCTTCATACGGCCTCATTTGTTGCTTGGGACCATCGTCTTTGCCCTTACTCTCCAGAAGGACAAACCAAGCTTAGAATGTTTTCAGAGGTGCTGGACAAAATCTGTTCGAGGACTCAGATTAAAAACATATGGAGAACGAATGGTTGCGCTGGGTCTGTATCCTCTGGAATACGGAAAGCCAAGAGGAGACTTGGCAATGACTCACAGCATTCTGTGCACGCCTGGCCACCCACCCCGTCATTTAATAAATCTTAGCCGTACCATTAATCTTAGAGGACATAGAAACAGCCCGGAACATAGCAGGTTAGATATCAGGCACAACTTCTGTTGCCTAAGAGTCTTTAAACCCTGGAACGCTCCTCCTGACGATGCGATCCAGGCTGCTTAGCCTGAATCCACCAAACGCCAACTGGATACCTACTTTACATGTGGCTGGGATCTGCCCAGAACTAATTGTATTTTCACATTTCAACCTCCACTTTTTCCTCTCTCTTTACTTGTACACAGGTTAACGATAAGAAGGTTTGATGATCCAGGGATTGTAGACATGAGAGCCAGTTAGGCGAAAGTCTCTTCCTTTCCGTCAACAACCAGTTGAACCATTTGAGCCACCCAACCAATCACTAGGTTCACTAGAGCTACAGTAGGCAAGTATGCAGATGCACCGCACGAAATCCACCAAAAAACTGGAACTGTTCCGAAAGACCCAGATGCAAGGAAGAAGAAATCATTTATTTTGAACCATATCGCTTAGAAGATATTTGATTAGAAATGAAAGCCCGCTGTTTTAGAGTTAAGGTCAATTACAAGGTCATCAGTTTTCGGTGAGGATAGTAGGCCAGACAACTTGTGTTGGTAATGTTCCAGGACTGCGGTTTAGCACAAACAGCCTTTATTGACAAGCTAAAGGTAAATAAAGGAATATATCCAATCGAACCACATAGGTTCTGAATGCAGCAACAGTTCCTGAAGTACCTGTTTATAGACCAACTGCTTCAGAATTTGAGGATTTCAGCAGATGTGTCTCAATGATTGAATCCCTAGGAGCCCATCACGTAGGTCTCTGCAAGGTCATACCGCCACCTTCTTGGATTTGTCGGCGTACAGGCTATGACGACATTGGGGAATTTGTGGTTGAGAAACCTATATGTCAAAGTACATACGGTAGTCGTGGTATATATTTTCAGGTCTGTCTTATTTTCATCCCCAGTAATGATAACAGGATATTTCACCGAAGAAAAGCCTGAGCTTTAATGACTTTAAAAGTCTTGCAATCTCCGGTTCGTATTGCACCCCAGAATTTAGGGATTTTGACCATCTTGAGAGAAAATATTGGGCATCCATCGGCACCAGTCGTCCATTGTATGGGGCTAATGTGAATGGAACTTTGATGGATATTGACCATAATACCTGGAACATTTCAAAGCTTGATTCGATACTAAGCAGGGTTTTCAAAGAGGAAGGAGTGCAGATACCGGGAGTGAATACTCCCTATTTGTATTATGGAATGTGGCGTTCTACATTCCCGTGGCACGTTGAAGATGTAGACTTGTACTCTATTAATTACCTCCATTATGGACTTCCAAAGTGTTGGTATGTCATACCACCGGCTTATGCGCGTAAATTTGAAGCATTTGTTTCTGGTATGCACTGCTAAAAACTTATTGTTCTCAAGAATATTTTAGGTCAGAGTTTCTTAAATGCCATTGCTTTCTAAGACATAAATGTGTTTTAATAAGCCCTACTGTTCTTTCACAGGCTGGTATTCCGACCAGAAGAGTAAGGTTTACTTGTAACTTAGTTTCACCCTAGATTCTTCAATATGAGGGTGAATTTATGATTACTTTTCCATATGCATACCATTCAGGCTTCAACATGGGCTTAAACATAGCAGAGTCGACAAACTTTGCCCTTGATAGGTGGATAGAATACGGGAAGCATGCTAAAATTTGTACCTGCTGGGATGATACAGTGAAAATATGTATGGATCCATTTGTTCGCAGATTTCAACCGGAATTGTTCGACGATTGGAAAATTGGAAAAAACCCCCAACCTCATCCTCTTGACGAATATTTGTTAAGGGAAATGGGTTGCCATGCTGAAAACACATCAATTTATCCAAGTTAGTTCAAGAAAGCTTATCTAGCTTTTAGATAGTTCCAAAGTTTTACTGGGAGTGCAGCGTCTTGCAGTTACGAGCGTAAATTACATTCCTACTGAACCTCTTCCATTCAAACAGTCGCCACCGAAATTAGGTGATCTAAACTACATCGATATGCGGTACTCTTTGAAACGTAAGCACTTCAAATTTTATAATTCTCCTAGTTGATTGGTTTTTGTGATACACTTTCCGTAAACTAATATTTGTATCGGCAAATCGTGAAGCCAAATAGGATGTGGTACCTATTTATCTATTTCAAAAAGTGTTTAATGGAACGGGGACTGAGATATATACTAAGTAAAATAAAATGATGAAATAATAATATTGGGGACAATATAAACAACTTAGTAAGCATGTATTTTGATCCACTAACCATACCCATCATTTGACGTTTAATAATACGACCTGGCTAACCAAACAGCAAATTGGGTGTAGTTTACATCCGTCACTCAGTTTGTCAGGGTTGTTTTGGCAAATAAACCAGTTTCCTTGCGAAACTACATAGGATTTTGCTTTTTTATAATATCAGTTAAACTCGACTTTGACTTTCTTGGAGAAATTTTCTATTTAATCTAATTTGGCTTATTCACTCCAATGGGTTTCAATTTACTTCTGAGGTAAACAAATAAATGAGTTCGTTTGTGCATTTTGTTAAGTTTCAAACATTTCTACTGGGATTGGAAATATCATCCAGGCTTTCTTATTTACTCATCTTGTGGCCGTTTTAGACCAAACAGAAAAGATAAAATGTGGATATGATGTAGATTGATATTCATACCTGATATTATGCTTGTCTGTTGTTATTGATGTTTACTAAATTTATTTGTCAAGTGAAAACGAAGTTTGCTGATTACCAAACATAGTTATAGTTGATTTTATCTGATCTAAATTCAATTACACTCTCTTCGTTCTCCCACTAGACAGAATTTCTGGCCTCATCACCCCGGTATGAAAAAAGAATAGATCAAGTTTTTGCATGAGGAGTTTGAATAGTTTCCATTTCAACCTAGAAAAATCAATAATAGCTGCTAAATAAACTAGGAGAGATTGAAGTATCACAAAGACCTGTTTCATTAGCACCTACGTCAGCAAAGAAGAGAATGATGGTGCCTGTACTGCACCAGAAATATTACAGACACTTGTCATCCAACTGATGGATTATGAATTCCGAACCACTTCATTTGCTTTGTTTCCGACAGGCTGTCATCTGCCATTAAAATTTAAATAGATTATAACTGCCTTGCAAATTAAAGTTTTTACTTTGCTGTAATGGTCGAAGATCTATACCACATCTACCCAACGACCTACGTTGGTGATAACATATGTTCCTTGAGTTCCTAACATACTGCAAACGTATGTTGGTAAGATAATAAGCAGTTGTCATTGTGTAAGCAGCTATAAAATGATGGGATTCCGAGTATGAAGTCATATTGCTGACTGGACAGGGATGTGGTAACAGTAAATCCTTTCCCGAGGATGACCAATAGTACCTACTAATCCGGTCTTCCCAGCAGGAAGCAGAGTTAAGAAACGGCCAGCCTCAGAAGAGCAAACTCTACTTATTTGCGGCCGACCAGTGATCATCATCATCGACATAAGACCAGACACTACTGCGTAATAGCACGAGTTACCACACCTCATATCAGTACACCAAGTAAAAAGGCGGTGAAGTGGGAGATGAAGAAAGAAAGTTCAGTCAGAAGAAATATAAAGTACCAAAATAAGGAAAGGAAGAATGATAAAATGGTGAGATTTGGTATAGCGTCGTTAGGGTGATATGTGTATGCATCTGCACCACTGGCATCGGTTCTCAGCCATATCACCTGTATTCTGCAACATTGGTTTCTCTTGTCCCGCAGACCACATTCGGCTAGTCTGCATCGCCACATATGGCTCAAACCAATAGTCAGAGACTTCATACATTGGTGCCATGTTTTAGTGGGGTCACCTCGGGCCGTTTTCCAGCCTGAACCTACTTCGGCCAACATTTTGTGACAGGGCAGACGACGACTAGGTATACGTAACACATATCCCAACCATCTTAGTCAATGAAGGTTCACAACCTCGTCAACTGACCTACCTCTTCTCCATAGAACTCTACACCTGACTTTGCATTACTCATGTGATGACACCATGGAATACGACCTATACTACGAAGGCAACGGTGACCAAACATCTGCAGCCAGCCTTCTCATGTCTTCCACCTTCAATGGCCATGTTCACAGTCATAGAGTAGAACAGAAGGGACTACTCTGCGACCCTGGCGAAAGCCAATCGAGCCTTTTGCATCCGTGCAGAGATTTCATCAGCAACTGAGCCACCAGGGCAGGGCTGATCCTACTTCCCAGGTAAGTGAAGTGGTCGACACACTCAACCACTACACTCTCTATTGTTAGTCGCAGTGAAGCACCGTTGAAGACCAATCCTGGAGCAACAATTTGCATTTCTATGATGAGAACTACATCCCAAACATTCTCAAATTACCACTCAGTGTTCAGAAGACTCTGCATCTCATCAGTCAGTGTTTTCACCTAACAGGACTATATCATCTGCATATTCTAGGTCTAACGAGAATTCTCCACCGATTAGGTCAACGTCTGTGCAATCAGGCGACGAGAGCGAGACCCCCATAAGAATATCTATGATAAAATTGAATATGAATGGAGACAGCGGAGAGCCTTGACGGATACCACTGGATGAGCATAAGTCTCTGGACATCTCACCACAGGCTCTCTAACACGCCCACAAGTGTTCGAGTAGAGAGCCTTCAATAAGGTGATGTACGTACTTGGTACGCCTTTCAGTGAGAGATATTGCCATAAGACTTGTCGATCAACAGAGTGGAGTGCCGCCTTCAAGTCGAGAAATACAGCCAGTGTCGGGCATCGGTAAGCGTGTCTATATTCCAGGACCTGGCGCAATGTGAATATTTGGTCGTTACACTCACGACCGAGTCTAATGCTTGCCTGTCTGGTTTTCTCGGTCTTGCTGTTCCTGAGCTCCACTCAGGCGTCGACGAATTTTAGAACCTAGAATTTTAGGTACTATGTTCGTCAGGCTGATTCCTCTGTGGTTATCACAAGAGGACTTCTTGCCTTTCTTGAAGACTGGGATAACCAGTGATTCAGAACAGTCAGATGGGGTCACATGTGATTCCCATATACTAGTTAATGCATGCTAGTTAACCTGACTAAGAGCACTCTACCACCATCCTTGTATACCTCTGGAGTTAGTCCGTCTGGTCTTGCTGACTTTACTCGTTTCAAGTTACCTATCGCTTTCTCGACTTCTGCAAGTGTTCGGGGCCTATCTCAATGTTCCATTCAGGATACGACTGGATGGCGGGCAACGCAGTGGTAACTGGAGACCAGTTAAACTGTTCCTCGAAGTGTTCTTACCATCGTTCCAGTCGTTTCCCCTGCTAGTGAATCGCAGATCCGTCCTTCTCCGCGGTAGCCTCACTAACCGTTGTTGACCTTTTCCCCCTAGTTTCCTTGATAAGTCTAAATAACTGTTTACTGTTACCAATCACCACTGCCTATTCCATCTCTTTAGCCCACCATTGTTCGCGGTCGTCGCATAGACTTTTTTTCAATCTACTTTTTAGTTGCACTCGCTCTTCATTGTACTCAGAGCCTGCAACCAGAGATGCATTGACGTGCATCCATTAGTTCGGAAGAAGCTACTGATATCCACTGGCACTTTTTAGTCACTCTTTCGGAGTTGGCTACGGTCTTCAACTCTGCTTTCTCACCAGACTCGAGATAGCATGAAGCTTCTTCTGGATGAGTGATAGTGTTCTGTTCCTATAACTGCCTAGCCAACTTCTCACCGAAAGCGGCTTTGATGTTTTCGTTGTCGAGCTGCAGTCGTAATGGTTTTGTTGCCAATTTTTCCCTACGTCCATTGAGACACAGGCATATAGGTGCTCGGGCCAACGCGTGGTCGCTATGCAAGCGTGTTGTACTCCAGAAGGAGAGACAGTCTTCCACCGATCCTCTCCAGCGATGACTAATGGCAATGTGATCTATCTGTGTCCATCGCTGAGTTGAGCTCGGTGGACGCCACATCAGACAGTGTCTTTCTTTATGTCTGGAATTTGTGCTAGCTGAAAATAAGCGGTTATCTGAGCACAGTTGTAGTAGGCGATCACCGTTATGTGTACGTTCAGTCGGGACTCCGAAAGTGCCACCTGAAACCACCAGCAACAACCACTACATCTGAACGTTTAGCTTTCGAGAGGAGGCTAGACAGTTTTCTGTAGGACTTGTCCTTCACTTCATCCAAACCGGAGTCAGTGGATACGTAAGCAGAGAATACAAAGAGACAAGGGCGAATTTCACTATTCCTTTTAGTTCTCACTGTGCTATTCAGCCGGACAGCGCAGAGTTGACTATCAACTGGGATCCAGTCTAGTAGTTAGCTTTCTGCCCTAGTGCTTAATGCTATGCCTACATCTGCAAGACCGCGAGAGCTAAGCATCGAATCTCCAGAAACTCGAAGTGTGAATTTCGCGGACTCACCAGATTGGCTGGGAGATGTTAGGTGAACAACCGCACTTGGGTCCTGTATGCTTGTCTCACAAACACAGCACACATCCATGACCCGAGTTGCTAGAGTCTTTGACAATGAAGCCTGTTGACCAACTTGACGAAGGGTGCGGACATTGAAGGCCCAGATACGTAATTTGGAGCGTGGTTTAAGGAGACCAGGGATGTTGTTCTGTGGACTGAGATCGTTGTCAAAGGCTGCAGAGCTAGGAGAAATTGAAGATGATGTAGCATCGTTAATTAAGAGACGTGAAGGAAGATTAGAAGGTAATGATGAGGGAGGTGGATAGCAGTCTGAATAAACTTGAGTGCTGACAAGATTGTGAGGGCGCTTGACACTTCCCAGCTGCCCACACCCTGGAGGTCTATTACTTCTTAAAGTGCCCTCAAAGAAGTTTGTGTGACCTCAGAGCCCGTCGGACATCTGCTTCAGGCCTGTCATTCGTAGCCTATTGTGTATGGTTGTTTTGGACTTTTGTATTTTTGAGGCCATATGGTCGAAAGGAAACGACAAATGAACCGACCCCGCCGGCTCGGTAGACCGTGGGGCATGGTGGAGTGTGTTATTTTGGGGGCTGACCTTTCCTAACCCCGCCTTGCACTGAGAAGGCAGCATCAGCATGGCACTACTGGTCATCCAAGAGAAACACTGTACTGCTGTCATACCCCATTCAGCTAGCAGCAGTACGACTCCGCCCTCAGACCCCCATCATAGTGTAGTAATTTACACCACAACGGTAACTGCTTTTCGAATTACCACTATCTAACAGACCTTTCTGATATGGTAGGACCTCGAGGGAACAAGTGTTCCACCAGCATAGCTTGTTGGGTCATTGTGATATGCAAGCCCGACCACCACGTCAAGGTGGCAGCTATCAGTCGGAAGATTCAAGTCAATCAAAGCTAAACCTCAAACTTTCGAAAATAATGCATTGATGCGACCCAAGCAGATGTCCTTTGGGCTTTGCAATCATGCAGCAATATTACTACTCCGATTTTGTTTCCTGCTAAGAAGAAATAACCTGCCATACTGTGGGCAGGCGGAAATTGTCAACCACCATCACGACCGTGTCAGCATTTATATTCCCTCAGTTCATTATCAACCTACATGTTTGTTTTCTAATCTTTTCCCACACTTCTCGGTCAATATTCCTATTCCAACTTTAATTCCTTCCATCCCTGCAGTCCTTGGTACGGTGTTAAGTTATGAAAGAGCATCCCTGATCACCTGAAACTGCACTCAACAATATATCTCGAATCTCTCAATGTTCGAGCGCTATGTTAAATCTGACAACAAGCTTCACTAACCAAAACTCTAGCACGTAGGGCCATTAACATGTGCTGTGTTTGTGAGACACGCACATAGGACCCAACTGAGGTTATTAGCTTAGCCTCATCTAGCTAATATGGTGAATCTGTGAGTTTCTGTCTTTGAGCTTTTAGTCTTGCAGTTGTAGGTATAGAACTAAATTCTGAGGCAGAAAGTACACTGCTCGACTAGATTCTCAGTTGACAGTCACATCTACGCTATTTGAATGAATAGAGCAGTGACAACTAAGTAATGAAATTCGCTGTTAGTGATTTGTATTCTCTACTTAAGCATCCATTGACTACAGGTCGAATGACAGACAGTCAGACTTCATGAACTGGTGCTACGCCAAGACCTGTCCATTATCAGTCTTTCTTTAACCTAATCCTATTCCGGCTAACATTCTTCATCCGAGTGGCCGGGGCTTGGCACGTATAACACATATCTCTCCAAGTCACCTCAGTTGTTGAAGGTTCGAAACCTTATCGACTCGCTTGCCTTTCTTCACCAGAAGCCTCCGCCATACCACGACATTGCTCACATTTTAATCCTATCGCATATGAGGAATGCTGGGTCAAAACCTGTAACATCAAATCTGGTACACTGATAGATGAAATCAACGTAAAACCTCGCACTCAGATGCATCGGCTGTAGTTGTGGCACTTCACAATAGGACAAAAGAACAGATAGATAGGAAAGAAGTAATATCAAAGTAGACTAAGTTGTCTGAGAGAACAAGCTGTATGAAGTAAAATGTTATTGGGAATATTCATGATTTAAAAGATAACAAGTAGTGAATACATCTTCACTGTAGTAGCTGTTCACCAAGTAATAAAAAAGTGGAGTACAGCCCAATATACTCGTTCCTTTCACAAGTAGTTAAATGTTACATTAGTTCTGGAAATGCCATAAGTTTTCAAATGACGGGCAGGACTTCCGCCCCGATGTGACCGATTTTCAGGCATGTAACCAGAATTCATGAACCACTGATTCCTTTAGTCTCGGTGACCCTAACCAAGCAGTCTACTTCTCCATGCACGGCAGCTAGGGACTTAATCGACTTGTGCCACATCTTGGTTTGGCCACTCTGAACCCTCTTACAACCTCACCCGACTTTCCCTAGGATTGCACGTCGAGATGGACAGGGGCTTAACATGAGCAGTACATATCAAAGCCATCTCAGTCAACCGAGGTCCACAACCTCATGAATCGAAATCCCTGTATTTCCTAGTACCTTACTTCTCACCTTAGCATTGCTTACAGGGTGATTCCATCAAACGTAAGCATTGCTACGAAGACATCTGAGACCAAAACCCAGTAATCTGTTCGTCTCTTCTACTTTCAACGGGCATGTCTCACAGCCATACAACAGGACAGAAGAGAATGCAGCGCAGTATTCTCGTCCTTTGATACACAGACGGATATCTTGCTGCAGCCGACTATCAGAGATTGGTTCGAAGGAGCCAGTGGATATCAGCAGCTTCTTCGGGGTTGATGAAAACTGTTTATGGTGTGTACATGGCGAGTCACTGTCGCTGTTGGTATTTCTCGTAATCTAAAAGATTTGGCCGGTATAAAGCTGATCGATCTTTTATCCCCTATCACGATGTGAAACGTACCTGCTTTCTTTGACTTTGATTGTCACGATCTTCATTTTGGCATTGGTTTTTAGCGATGGGTAGGAAGATCTTGAAAACAATAGCAGTCAAATTAATTCATTCCCCTTCGACTATCAAAACAAAACATCTATCCTTTTTCACGGATTTGGATGGTGATTCTAGAAGACTAGCACGATGACTCTACCTCTTATTCCCATAACCTCCGCAGTACCTCCCTCACTCTTATTAGGAAATTCTTACCTCTACCCTCAAAAACATCAGGTGACAAACTGACAGGTGCTGCTGCTTTGCATCAATTCAGGTTCGATGCAGCTTTCTCAACTTCAACTTCATCCCATTCAGGTTCAGGTGGAATGCTAGGCAACTGAATTGTGGCTGTGGCCCACTTGATCTGTGCTTCAAAGTGTTCCGCTCAACGTTCTCCTAGATGCCTCTCCGATTAGCTCAGCTTCCTTACCTGGGCGTCACCTGCATTTATGACTACATCTGAACCTTTGGCTTTCTGTAACACGACTGACAGCTTTTCATCGAATTCATCTTTTTTATCATCCGAACTATAGTCAGTGGATGCGTAGACAGAGATTACGAATGGGCATAGCCTAGTCTCACGATTCTTCCTAATCCTCACAGATCTATTCAGTCGAACAGCACATTAAACGGTTGTTGACTGGAATTTAGTCGAGGAATGAACTTTCGGCTCTACAACTCCGTGCTATGCCTACACCAGCTAGCTATTGAATCTCCATACACTTGTATGGTGGATTTTTCTGGTTCGGTCAAGTGAATGACCACTCTTGGTTCCTGTGTACGTGTTTCAGAATCATATCATACTTTCATGATTGAGATTTCAGTTCTGGTAAGAGAGACCTATTGTTCGTTCCTGCGTTGTTTTCGGTTGTTGAAAGCTCCAATAGGATATTAACTTCAGAGTTTTAGGAGATCATAAATATTGTTTCGCTGAATGGGATCATCACGAACAGTCACTGTTTGGAGGTTTGGGAATCTACAAGAGGTTTTATTTTTTAATCAAGAAATAAAGGCAAGGGAAGTAGAAAATTTGATTACTGACAGTTAGGTTTTGTATGCTTTGGGAGGCATGCGAGCGGTTGCAACCTCCAGGCAGCCCACTTCAGGGAAGTTGTTTCTGCAATCTAATTCACCTAGATTACTTTTGTATGGCTGCGAATCCCACGTCATGTGATGGAGTCTAATGCTACCCTTTTGGGAGTTTGAGATTTCAGTTTGTTTGTTTTGAATCTAGACGTAAACATTATACTGCTCACACCAGATGACTGAAGGGTAATGAGTAATGTGATGATCTTTTTCTAACCCCCAATTCCTATTGGGAAAACGTTATTGGCAGGTACTGCTGGTCATCCTCAGGAAGAGATTTACTGCTGCCACACCCCTGTCCAGTCAGGAGTATGACTTCAATCTTGGAATCCCATCATTTAAGGATGTCTACACGCTGAAAACTGCTTTTTGTCTCGCCACTATCCAAACATACGTTTCTAGGACCTCAAGAAACAAATTTTATCACCAATGTAGGTTATTGGGTCAGTGTGCTATGCAGCCTTGACCATCACTCAAGGTTTCGGCTATGGGAAGGGAAAACTGTACTATTCTTTATTTTCTCCTAAATGGTTTAATGTAGGATAATTTATAGATGAATGTCTTACAAATACTCACCTCACCTATATATGTGAGTTAACCCGTAAAATTTCGTGTGAAAAATCGTTGGTAACATTGCTCTCGGACTTTGGTAGTTATTACTAATTTGTAATCCCCTTGCTAAGGCGATTACGCAAGACGTTTCAAGATTAATACAGGAGTAAAACCTATCTACCTTTGTGGATTGTAATCCCATTTTAGTCTGTTTATTAGATGCGAAACAGTATTATTTGCTGGATAGTGTTGGGGTAACCGAGCGGTTTGATGCACAGGCTTAGGAGTATTCGTCTGAGTGTTCTGGTTTATGTTGCTAATAACTTTGTTTCCTTTACTGTTTAACCGATTAGCATGAAATTTTGTAACTGTGTTCTTTTGCTTTCTTATTTCATGAATTCTAACCCTCATTTAACAGAGTTTAAAAAAGCTAAACTTCCTTACCATATCTCTAAAAATGCTTCTCTCTGCGCTTTGTGGTGTGGAAACTCATTCAACGAGGAAACTGAACGAAATTTCAACATCTTTATTGGTAGCAATAAACCCTACTGTGCTGTTTGCTCATTTTTATGGACACCTCAGGTAAATAACTCTTGCATGTTGGTGCGAGTTTCTGTGAACTGAAAACACTTATAAAATAAACGCATTTAAATAGCTGTTGATGACCACTTGTGAGTGCCTAATCGATTCGCTTATTCAATGTGAAATTACATCCTACCATAGTGCATAAGTTTTATACTTATATTAATGACCAACTGTGAGTTGGAAGGCTAGATCATGTAGCTGTCTTATAGTGAAACCTCGCATGTGACCTTCTGCTTCTGAGAAACTTTAGTTTGGCTATAAAATGCCGAATATCAAACACTTCAATACCCCTACTTTTTCATTGTCTGTGAATCATGATACCTAATAGTTGGTATTCGTTGCTCTCTGTTTAATATTATTCTCATCGTTTGGGAATTAACATATCTATGATACTTGGTTATTCATGCCAAGTTTAATTTGGTGGCTTGGATATATTTTTGTGCGTATTCTCAGTATTTCCCGCGCAAAGCATTACTCACTTATTAACAAAGTATGAAAGTGAAAGCAAGAATCATTTTATGATACAGCTGCGTAATATAGAACAGGTTTGCATGGTCTTCTGTTAGTGATTTACGATACAGTTATGTTATGTGAAGTTATGGCTCATTGACTTAAGCAGATTACTTCCAACCAATGGAACAGAGTTTTGAACACAGCTCCACTCACCGAGTTTTCGGCAACCAGGTGGCATCATCAGCCGTCACCCAATAGGCGTGGTTCATTGCCTACCTCATGAATGTGGACAAGGCGGCTGAGTAGATTTCGCTTCTTTTATATTTTCGACTGTGATATTAACAATCGCATGACTCGTTGATCCTAAACATTATACGTGACTCAAACCAGTGGCATTTATTTTACATTCTTTTTTGTTCTACATTGAAAGTGCAAAGAGCGAATAACGTAAAGTTAGGCGATAGTCGGTTGTATAACCGTACAACAGCCTCAAATATGTACGGGTTTAGTGTTTTAATTGGAAGCAAAACCTGGGTCGTGTTAAGGTTCAAATAACACACGTTAACTCAGATTGGATTAAGTTGGAAGAAGGTTCAGAGTGACCAAACCAAGAAATGACATCAGTCTATGAAGTTTCCGACTGCTGGTATGTGTAGTGTAAGGAGCTGTAAGCTGCCTGGTGGAAGGTGACTCCTCGAGACCATAGGAATCCTGGTTGGTTAGCATTGGTGATATAGTTGAACATCGGTTCCAATAGTGCCGATATATTGAGTCTTTGACGTCTTCCACTGTTCGAACATTTTCACGAACTTTGATTCTCAAATTCCCCGTACACCTTTGTCTACTTTGACATTGCTCTTCCTCTACCTACTTGTTCTTCGCATGCTACTGTGAAAAGTGGCAACTTAAAGTGACGCGCTTCTACGTTGATTTTGTCTGTCTATCTGGTTAAAGTTTCGATTATTCATTCAACATTCACGTCACTATAAACTTAACCTGACATTTTTGCATAACAGTACAAACTGTCACATTTCATACCGTCTCGTTGCGGTTCAAACTGACAAAAAAGAGGGTAGAGAAATAAGGATAACGTAGTCAGTAACCATAGACAGTTATAAAATGAAGAGAAGATGGTCTGGAACAAATGAGGAAATATAATGGTTAAAGTGAAGATAGGGTGTGATTGCATTTGCAATACTGCGATCGACTCTGGGCCATAGAGTTTGCAACCATCACACTAGGTTACCTTTTGATCCCTCAACCCGGTACCCCGTGGAGGTGTAGCTCATTAGCTTATGAACCCGTGCTCGGAACCCGCCTCACCTGTTTTGGCCTTAGGAATCGGGTATTATCTCAGACTCGCATACAAAAGTGTGGCTCATAGACTGGTACATGAACGTGTGCTGGGTTTAGTTGCACTATTATTATTTACTACTAGCTGACTGTTCTGCTCCTGTTGACAAATCTGAGAGCCAAGTTTAGAAGCCTCACCAACAGATGCCGCGTTCCATTTTAGCCATCATTACCCTTTTTTCAATGGAATCGTACTTTAACTTAAATGACGCATCGAGGTAGGTGATGACCAGGTATTCGTAACAAGTTCCACATTTTCCTCAGTCGATTATGGTTCGGCGGTAGTCGAAAACCTCAAGCCTCAGGTCCGCTACTTTTAGCGGTCATACTTCACAATGCACTGGAGCTTCGAATCAATTCGCTTAGCAGGCACATTATGTAAAGCATTTACAGCTGTGGTGTAAGTTGCAACACCATCACGTGGATCTGAGGGCGAAGCCATATTCCTGCTAGCTGAATGGGGTGTGACAGTAGTCATGTGTTCCCCTTAAATGGCCTGCAGTGCCACGGTGATGCTGCCTTCTCTATAAGAAGAAGGAGTTCGAGAAGGTCGACCACCAAAATAACACGCTCCCACCCCTCGTGGCATGTGTATGCCCGCAACGGGGATTCATAGTTGGATTCAAAAGCAAAACACCAAAATCTCAAAACTGCCAAAAGGCCGTGTGTGACAGGCCTCAAAAAGATGTTCCATGGGTTATGGTCGCACAACTCTTTTTCTCTTGCCGTTACCTTGATAAAAGATAGCCTCCCGTGGTGTGGGGAGCCGGGCGTCAATCACCTGTACGCTCCCATTAGTATACAAGACCCAGTCAAGTATGACGTATCTCCCTCAACTCTGTTTACTTTTGCCTTCTGAAACCAAATTTAAGCCTATTACTTCCTACCCAACATCTCACTCTGCAACCACTGCGACAGACGGAAGCCATCGAAACCTGATTCTCCTAGTCTTCTTAGACACCGCCATCAATTTAATGCGGTGGCTATCAACGTCCGACCTCTATACCAAACCGAGCAGCACGAGTCACGCTCCGAAATCGGAATCTGTAATCATAGATGTATGCTGTGACTGTGAGACACATAAACAGGACCCGACTTTTGTTACTAAATTTACCTCACTTGGCTATAGTAGTGAATCTCTAAAGTTCACCATGAGTATCCGGAGACCCAATGGCTAGCTCTTGTGTAGGCATAGCACGGAGTTGTAGAGCCGAAAGTTCATTCCTCGACTAAATTCCAGTCAACAACCGTTTAATGTGCTGTTCGACTGAATAGATCTGTGAGGATTAGGAAGAATCGTGAGACTAGGCTATGCCCATTCGTAATCTCTGTCTACGCATCCACTGACTATAGTTCGGATGATAAAAAAAGATGAATTCGATGAAAAGCTGTCAGTCGTGTTACAGAAAGCCAAAGGTTCAGATGTAGTCATAAATGCAGGTGACGCCCAGGTAAGGAAGCTGAGCTAATCGGAGAGGCATCTAGGAGAACGTTGAGCGGAACACTTTGAAGCACAGATCAAGTGGGCCACAGCCACAATTCAGTTGCCTAGCATTCCACCTGAACCTGAATGGGATGAAGTTGAAGTTGAGAAAGCTGCATCGAACCTGAATTGATGCAAAGCAGCAGCACCTGTCAGTTTGTCACCTGATGTTTTTGAGGGTAGAGGTAAGAATTTCCTAATAAGAGTGAGGGAGGTACTGCGGAGGTTATGGGAATAAGAGGTAGTTCCATGAGACTGGTGGATAGCACTGACCACGAAAGTCTATAGAAATGTGGAAAAGCCTTGTGAAAACCATCGGGGGCTTAGTCTGACTAATATTGTGTTCAAGCTAGTAAAATCTGTGGTTGTCAGAAGTCTTAATGGACCTCGTGGCCAGAAAACTGGAGAAAACCATGCATCTTTTAGACAGAGCTGGGTTAGGTTTCATCGACCATATGTTTACCCTTCGACGGGTTCTGGATGATGGGAATACTTACTGGCAACCGACACCTGCCATATTTCTTGACCGGAAGGCGGCATTTGACTCTGTCTAATGTGAGGTGTCGTGGCAGTGTCTGCCTGTGAAGGGAGTACCGAGAAATTAGATAACGCTCATCTTAGCTGTCTACTTTAACTCACTCAGCCATGCAAGGGCTTATGAAGAGTTGCCATGTGAATTAGCGACAACTAGTGGTGTACGGCAGAGATGCCAACTGTCACCGTTCCGATTCAACTTCATTAAAAGATGAACTAATGAACGTAACCTTAAGTATGTCTGACTTCGCAGGGATTGACCTACTCTCCGGAGGACATTTAGTTGACTTGGAAAATGCAGACGATATTGTCCTGTTAGGAGAATATGCTGACAGAACACAGGGTCTTCTGAACGCGTTGAACAGAAATCCGAGTATGTTTAGCATGCGTTCACTGGCACCTGCCAAATAAAAAATGATGCTCCAACACTGATCTGCTGCAATTTCTTCTACTTTAATGATAAGGAGTGTTGTGGTGGAATGTGTCGATCACTTCACTACTTGGGGAGTTGCATCAGGCTGGTTGCTGACAAAATCTCAGCTCCGACACATAAATCCCGTTCTGCATTTGCCAACATGCGTCATCTTTTGCACCCAATAGCGATTTTCCCATGTTTATCAAAAGAGGGGTATACTGAACTAGTGTCGTTCTTTTCCGTTGTACGGCTGTGACATATGACCGTTATGGGTAGAAGACAGGAAGGGATTACAAGGTTCCGACCTCCGGTATATGTGTAACATTGCTCGCTTTTACTGGTAGCGGTATTTTTTGCAATGTCAAGGTGATGCGACTGGCGCTGGCCACGGAGGGAAACTGCCTGAAAAGCTGTCGTAATATTCTCACCTTCGAGTCGCACTAACAATGCTTATGCTGGGTAAGCTTTCCTACATCGATTTGGACACGTGCTCGAACCGGCGTGTGGCAACTGCCCAACACATCGGAAGGAGCGGCATTCTTCCACTGACCCTCTGCTGCAATAATCGGTAGCAATATGGTCTATTTGTGTTCACCCCTGAGCTGACGTCGATGAACGCCACATCAGACAATATCTTTCTGCATGTCTGAAGTTTGCTCTGGCTAGAGATAAATGGTTATCTGAGCACAGTTGTAGCAGGTGATCGTGGTTATCTGTTCACTTGGTTGGAATTTGGAAACTGTTACTTAAGTGCCTTCT